ACAACAGAGGCAGTGATATTATTATGTTAATAACAAAAGAATTTGATTAAGTTCTTTAGTTCATCAATACATAGTATAAAACAAAGTCGCTTTCGCTGTATGTCCGTATGTATGCTCAGATCTTTAAAACTACGCAACGGATTTTGATGCGGTTTTTTTTAATAGATAGAGTGATTCTTAAGGAAGGTTTATATGTATAATACATGCATATTGCACCGGTGCGAAGCCGGGGCGGGTCGCTAGTATATAATAAAATTCAAATTAGGTTAACTTATTGTTTCACTAAAAACACAAGGGCTATGCTTGTGATATGAAAAAGATTAATGAATTCGTAGTATTTGCTCATATAATAAAGTCTAAAATATCTAAGCCGCACTTGAAACAATGGACACACTATTTCACTGAAACACAATGGGAGCAATTAATAAAAATGGTTCTAGTAACAAAAAAAGAACAATTTACTTATAAGCTGATTACGTAATAAAAATGACTTGCAAATCTTAAAAAAAAGATGACCTATATATATTACTATTGTCTTTCCATTTAATTAAAAATAAAGCGAATTGCCACATACAATTCTATAGAAATTAATTATTTTAATGTCACTGATAAAAACTGCTTTTTGTTCTGTAACAAATGAAGTTACTATTTTTCATTATAAAATAATACAACATGAGTTTTCACATTAATTAAACAAGTTTTGCCATAGAAATGACTACGCGACTACGCCGTAGCAAGCAATCGTAGCGTCTACTACGAATGAATAAATAAATTTATCCGGCTCGTTTTGACTGCTCGTTTAATATTATCTAGATGTGACACTTTTTTCTCTGGTAATGTACGTATGGAACTGAATAAATTAAGGAGTTTACGATTTTTAGGTAAGATTAATGAAATAGAACTTGGTTGTTGCTCTCACTAACCTATAAGTGACAAAAACAGTAGAATTAAGGAGTTTATTTAAGTACTACGTCACGCTAAGTGACTTTTAGTTCAGCGACAATTTAGAGGTGATAGTGAAAACGGTATAAAAATATTTATCCTCAATTTGCCTACTTCGTGTTAAATATCAAATTCGTTTTTAATTCATTACTTTCCTGTTAACAAACCACGATATTAAACAGTATAGAAAATTCTGTCTTGAATTGACGAGTAATATAATGTATTTTAATTGCCATTTATGAAGCGTTTGGAGGCAAGTTTACATCACCAGGCGAAACTAATTACATAAAGCATCTCATTTACCGTTTGTTCATACATAAGTTACGTTAACGGTTCACACATGTTAGATGTATACTAATTATACATATATATAGGTATGTACACAGTGTGTGTTTGTTATGTAAATTATTCCTGACTTACATAATCCTGTTCATTTCGTTTACAAAATGTATCTTTAGTAAAAATTCCAAATAGTTAATTAGTGTTATTTTATTGGCTTTGACGTTGGCTACGATTAAAACTACATTTCAAAGACATAAAACAGTATCATTTCTTAGTAAATATTGATTCAAATGCTGAAGTAGGGGAATATTGGAAAATAAATAAAGTGTTATAGTTTGTTGTGCCCTTTGTTTCTTTTATTCCTGTCTTTTATTAATTACAATTTAAAACATATAATAGACCTTCTACGATCTGATTTAACAAAGTATACCAGCGATATCTGATCCACATGACAATCAAGTATACACTTTACATCAATAGAATAATACATATTGTCTTTTGCAGTGACGACATCAGCACACGACATATCGCAGCTAAAGGTGCCGTTGTACGCGGACCCCCGGCGGGCAGCCGAGCTCAGCTGCCACTTCAAGATGGATGAACAGAAACTTCATTCTGTCAAGTGGTACAGGGACACTAACGAGATATTCAGATATAATCCCACACAGCAGGTGCGTTTGTCTGTTTTTTCCTTCCATTTTTAAAAAGTCCGCATTTTTGTTTTAAATTTACGCTCAGTTTTTCCATGGCGGCGGTTTTTGTAAGTACACCTTTGTGTAAAATCTAGATTCTAGTTTCGTTAACGATTTTGCATTTTGCAAACGTATTCTAGTCATCCATTATTAAAATTTTAACCGTTATTCTGGTTAGTTAAAATGGGTCGCGATTGTCTTTTTAGTGCTGAATGCATATTGTGTGGTTTATTTATTTTTATAAGAACATTGAAGGTACTGTAGTTAGTATTTTTACATTCTTTATAATGTTCTTATTGAACAGGCATCCTTTTCTTAAAATATTTGTGGTTCTTGTTTGTACCTACCACAAATCAACCAAGTCCAAAAATCAATGACAAAATAACAAAATGCAATTTGACAAGCAATATACCTCTAAATAAAATAATACACATCACTTCACTCCATTTATAGCAACAAAAAAATAATAATACAAAAATTGTTTACTGTGCCGTAAAATACATTTTATTATTCCATACCAGTCGTTTATTTATCCCCTGAAGATACTAAACGTATTTTGATTTCCCACGGCAATCTTAAAGTCGCTCATGTCCCTTGCAAAGTAAACAGGAACTTCAGAAGCTGTTTTATTTCCGTCTTATTTTACTTTAGAGAATTTATAATGTTATTTACTTCGCTTTTATATACATTTTCCATATAGATTAGATTTTAAGTGTGTAAGTTTTTACATAAAATTATAATGTTTTACAATCTCTTTATATATACAATTCTAGTGTACGTGTGTATCATTAAACTCCTCCTAAATGGCTTGACCGATTTAAATGAATTTTTGTGTATGCGTTTGAGTGGCGCCCTGGATGGCTTAGTTTTACAAATCAGCCCAGCAGATGGCGCTGCAGCCGTTAATTAGGTTATTTATCTATACCTATTATTATATTATATGCAGGACAACGTCTGTGGGGTCCAGTGTTCTTATAATAATATGGTAATTGGTTACGTAACTAAAACGCACAATAATATGAAACTTTGTGGTATTATTGAAAATTCTCGACCAACTCTTACTCGAATGTTTCGTTGGTCTTTAAAGCGCGACTGCCAAGCAAAAGATCTTGAATTGGTTTCTAGCAAAGTAACATGGGTTTTTTTTGTTTCTTTTCCAAATCCTAAAGTCTGAAAATGTGCCCTGTAATAAAACTCATCCTCTATTACATATGACTCATAACATAAAATGTGTTCTATTATATACAGGCTGAAATCAGAATGATTCCGAAAACCTTTCTTGAGCAGTTGATTACAACTATTATTGCGCAATAGAAACATTTGATTCATTACAATTTCGAAAATAGAACTCCTTTTTCACCCACCACCTGTCTTCGATTTCTGGAAGCGTTCCTTACACCCTGTATGTCTATCCCTTCCTACCAGCTACCCACTATATGGTTAAATAAAATTACGATATGTTGATCTTATATAATAGGTACACGTATCCAGTATGGTATACATTCGATATTATTAGTAGTATTAAATTAAAATACAATCTGCATAAGAAGTATAAGGCAAGTAAATCAGTTACCGATTACGAGGCGTTTTCTTTGTGCCGAGCGAGAGTAAAGACTGAAACAAAGTTGGCTCATGATCGTTATCGGGACCGAGTGCAGAACCATTTAGCCAAAGACCCAAAGGCTTTTTGGAATTATGTGAGATCCAAAAAAGGGACTTCTAATAAATATAAGTTAGTTAAAGATGGGTTAGTTCTCACTGACAAAGAATGCGCCGAAGAGTTTGCACAATTTTTCCACTCAGTATATAGCCCCAAGCCTGCAACGTTAGACGTAGATGCAGCCAGTGCCACGGGCTCACGGTGTGCAGCACGAGCGCAACTTGACCGTTTAGACAAAGCAGCGGTGTACCGCTCGCTCGCCCGTTTACCATCTAAGCGCTCCGTGGGACCGGACGGCATACCACCGTTCATTCTGAGGGACTGTCGCGGCGCATTCTGTGAACCACTGTTACACATCTTTAATATTTGTATCTCGTCTTCGACCTTTCCAGAGAGGTGGAAACTTACGCGCGTCGTGCCAGTCCCAAAAGGAAGTGGAGGAACAGAGGCGAGCGATTATAGACCTGTTGCTGTCCTGTCTTCTCCTGCCAAAGTATTTGAAGCAGCTGTGCACAGTTCCCTCTATGACCAGGTTAAGGCTCACTTATCTAATGCTCAGCATGGCTTTTGTCCGGGACGTGGAACCACAGGAAACTTGCTTCATCTTATGTCAACACTAGTACCATCGGTGGATGCAGGTTTACAAGTGGACGTCGCGTATCTTGACTTCAGGAAGGCGTTCGACACAGTCGATAATGATGTCTTGCTCTCGAAGTTAGCTGGCAAGGGTTGCACGCCACATACGTTGAGGTTCTTTGCCAGTTACTTACGGGACAGGCGTCAGTTTGTCGACTGTGGAGGATGCCTTTCTAAGCCATATTATACGAGATCAGGCGTTAGTCAGGGCAGCAACTTGGGTCCCTTTCTTTTCATATTAATGATTGATGATTTACCAGCAGTAGTCCAGGAATCATCTTGTTTGCTTTTTGCCGATGACCTAAAATTATTCCGTGTGATGAGAGACACTACTGACCATAATATGCTCCAAGAAGATTTGGACCGAGTTGTTAAATGGAGCCATGATAACAGACTTTATTTCAATGTCTCCAAATGTTCAGTGGTGTCTTTCACTCGTGCGCGCAGTCCACACCACCACTGTTATAAGTTAGAGGGTGAAACTTTGGAGAGAGTGATGGAAGTAAGAGACCTTGGTGTCTATTTTGCGGCCGATTTAGGATTCAGAGGTCATATTATTAAGGTTAGTAAGAAAGCATTTAGAAATTTGGGATTCATCTTGAGACAAGCTAATGACTTTAATAATGTGGGGGCTCTCAGGGCTTTGTATGACGCCTTGGTTAGATCTCACCTCGAGTACTGTGCAGTAATATGGGGACCAAGTGAAGCCAAATACAAATTCATGGTTGAGAGGATACAAAATAAATTCACCCGATTTTTGTATTCAAAAATATATAAGGTATACCCCGGCTATCCTCTATTATACCCAACATTATTTGTGTTGGGTATGGTGGGATACTTCAAACTGGAGACTAGGCGGGAAGTGGCACTGGCTGTTTATTTATTTAAAGTGTTGCGAGGTAAATTAGTTAACTCTAGAATCCTTATGGAGCTACGCATGTGTGTGCCGGATGGGTATGTGGGTAGGCGGCGGCGGCCGCAGCTGCTGGCGGTGCCGAGCGCGCGCACCAACCTGCTGCAGCGAGCGCCACTGACGCGCGCCTTGCGCACGCTCAACGCAGTGTCGAGTAGGGTCGATTTGTTTACTTGTTCGCTGAATGAGTTCACAAGAGCCACCTATGGTATTGTTAGTATTTAAAACTTTAGTAGTGGTATTTTCTTTTTTGTGATATTATGTTTAGATTTCTTATGTATAATGTAACTTTCGTATGTATAATGTAATTTTGAATTTTGAAATTTTATATTATGTAACTAATTTTGTCGTATTAGGCTAAGTACCTGTGAAGATTAAATTAGCTGTTTTCTGATAAATAAATAAAAATAAATAAATATATATAATAATACCTACCCATTATAACTACAAACTTTACCAGACACCGTAACACAACTATAAGACGTTACTCAACATCTACTAATAGACCCATTGTTTTCAATCGATCAATTCGACCTCACCCAGTCTGTACCGATCATAAACACGTCCAAAGTTCCCAACTAAAACTGAGAGTTTGTTAAATTAGTCAACATAATAACAATATTGTTGATTGCTATAGGCCTTGGCTGTCTATCAGAATGTTTGGGAGCCTTTGCTGGATTTTCCAGTAATAGTTTTATTTACAGTTGATAGATATGATGAGTTTTGTTTTGTTAAAGGTTACTTACTAAAGCATTATTTAATATAATAAACTGTTCTACTACTGAATAAAGCAACAGTAATTTAATGTATGTAATTATTTAATCAGTTTCCTTAGTTCTGTAACAAAAGTGTTGGAAATGACTTCAGCTACAACAGCAAGGCTATTCTGTAAGAAGTAAATTCAATCTCTCAAAGCTTGATCGTATTCTTGACAGTCATTGGTCGAGAATATTCTTACAACCAATGACATGGCGGACCGCGATCGAGCTCGCTTCAAAAGTTCGAATTGACATCTTACAAAATAGCCTTATAGTTTAAGAATTCACCGCTTCCTTCCTCGTCGTACAAGAACAAGATAAGTGTGATATCGCTTTGTGATATAACCAATACCAAAAACGTCTCACAACATGAAAACACCACCATTAAGCCGCAGCATTGATTAATATTCGAAAATTTCATCTAATTAGTCTACACAACATTTTGGATCGAATTCAAATCGTCTAGATTTTGACCCTATTTCGACTAGTCGTTAGCCGCGTGCTACATTCAATATGAAATGCGTTGTTATCACCAGATGTTCCAGTTATCGATACAATCTGTTGTTCGAGGATAATGGAAACCGTTCCAATAGAAAACAGGAATAGAAACACGCTGTATCCATACACAGGGGGTTATCAAAAGCTCCAACTATTTGGAGGTTATGAATGGCTCAAATTGAGGGTATTGTTGCTAATATTTTGTTGTATCTAATAATAGAGATTAGGGTTTGGTACAACTCTAATAAATTTGTTGATTAATTATAATAGGTTTTACGAAATGTTCAAACTCTAAAGAGGTTTTGAACAAAATTGAAAACGTTATCATCATCAAAGTCAGCCACAGCACGTGTAACATTTGTTGGATTCAATTGTCTTCAATAATATTTTTATTTGAGAAATAATCAAATTAAGCTCTTTACACATGACAGTAAATATCAACACGATTATAAGTGATCATAAATAGATACACTATTTGTATAAACATTTCAATAACATTTATATCTGCACTGTATCTATTATCCCATAAAATGTAGCCAGCCTTAATTTTAACACCGATAAAATCCACGCAACCAAAGTCTCGTATTAAAGTAAGATTTATTTTATATGCTTTCCTTTGTTTCATCACAATAAAATGAATAAGCTTTTACATTAAATTAACGACGCCGCCATTCCATCACCGTCTGTCATTATACTTCCCTGCGCATTGTAAAAATCTTATCATAGCTCTTCAATCATGTTGTTTTTATTTCGTTAACCAAAATGACAGATTTTGAAGTCAAAATTTTGAATTGCTACGTAATTTTGTGGAGCCTATCCAATTCAAAATTGGTGAAATACAGTTTTTGCTCAAATGTATGATGAATTTTTGATGAATTTTCATTACATACTCTCTTGGTATCAGCATCAGAATTAACTTGATTTGTTATAATAATATTATATACTATGATTTGTCTTAGACAATAATGTAAAATCAACCATGAAACAAAAGCCTAAAATTGCAATTTGTCCACAGCCTTCAATCCGTCTTTTCAACATATCAGACGTGATGGTGCAAGGCGGTGAATGTCAACCAGACTACTGCGTGGTCAGGGTCATGCCTCCCCCGATCTCTACGAGAGCTGCATACACCTGCGAGGTGTCCACAGAAGGGCCCAGGTTCCAGATAGCGAGGAAGACGAAACATATGACTGTTGTTGGTGAGATTCCATTAATATTCACAACTAGTTTTCTATTTTGTACAAATAAGTTAGTCATTGCAAGTACTAACATCTGCTTATTACTTATGATAAGATAACTCTATTATAAACCGCGTTTAGAAAACCGGCTTCAAACCCCTCTTTTTAAAGTTAGCTAATATACTAAAACCTTCTCCTAAGTGTAACAAAGTTTTTGTTTTGAAAACCGCATTAAGACCGGTTCAGCCAATCGTGAGATAACCACGCACAAATGTACATACAAACGGGTCAAAATGGGAATACCCCTTTTTTTCTTCTTGAAGTCGGCTAAAAATGATCTGTGTTATGCCACAAGATCCGAAACATGACTTTAAACTAAGAAAGTATATTGTATTCGTAACTAAAGTGACAATTTCGAATTAGCATACTTCATACTCTCATACTCAAAGTGAGTCAGAGACATAAAGACTAGCGAGTAATTCAATTGGCCGTCATACAACCAATCACAACAGCGTTCAAAATAGCACATTCACAGATCGAAAACCGTATCTGCCTTTCAGAATTGTAGTAACTTTGTTAGTATACCTTACACCGGCCAGCAGAACAGACGTAGCCCGCAGCAAGCATCAAATAACTTAGACGCACTGAAGTTTGAAGTTATATGTGAGAGCGAGAAACAAGTACTCAGATCATATTGGAGCGACCAGGACAGAGTGATTGTACCTTACTTCAGTAATCTGCGTATATACCCTTTCAACAAACAACGTATTAGATGTACAGGCGGCGTAGAAAGCTTTGTAACTCGATACACAGTCTGCAGTAGTCAATCAAACGATCCCATAGTACGTTATGGTAATTAAACTTGGCTGACGTATCGTGATTGGTTCGTGCACTGCCTGCCTAGAATAATTACAGCGTTTTGTTTATGTTTTATAATACTATAGAACTTATGAAAGACATCACGTTGATAGATATAGGGGAATGGACTATCATTATCATTTACATCTCATTATTATCTTTCATTTTGACTGCACTGTTGACGCGGTAGCTGGGCAACTGGCTGCCTCGTCGTACAACGTGTCGTGGGTCCGATTCCCGCAAGGAACAACTCTTTGTGCGATCCACAAATTGTTGTTCTGAGTCTGGTGTCGTGTGTATGTGAATTTGTATATTTGTGAACACACTCAAATACAGGAGAAACTTCTAGTATAGGGGTTTTTTTTAAAGACAATGAAACAATTTTACTGACAAGATAGGTGTGTAAATCTCTTGTAATTTGAGTTATTCTATGAATTTTTACTTTAACAAAATTCGAAGAAGTTTAGTATTTCTAAAGCTTTTGTAGTCTAAGGCATTAGAGGCTTCAACAATACTGAACAAACAATACTTAACTATATTATTGACAAAAATAATTTCCATCGTTAAACATTCGTCTAAAATATCACCGATAGTGTCGATTTGCAATCGTCAAAATGTAACGCAGTGGCAAAATATAAAAGGACATCATGCATACCACTAAATAACAATTAAAACAGTCTGGAAAAACATAACACTCTATGTTGTATTAAATAAGCTGCTCACAGCTGCAACTTTTAAATCTAAAACACACATAACACCAACTCAATTTTCAATCGCCAGCAATTGCGGTTGACACCGACAAAATAGTTGTTCTAAAAGCCGTTTATAGTGCGCATACGGCCAATCGTTTCACCAGCTTTAAGCTATACAATAAAACATCAGTTCTATTTCATTGATCATAAAGTTTCAATTCGATTGAAATAAAATCCATTTTAAGCTCTGTTTTGTGCACACGAATTTATGCACACGGCAAAATTGACCAATCAATGTGCTAAGCTGGATTTAGGTTAGAAAAGACCCTGGTTTGAGAGATTTAGGTAAAGAGCCATTCAGTTTAATGGTTTAAGCGTTATTAGCTATTGGTTAGTGCATTTTTGATGGACTTACGAAGTGAATAAAATAATCTATAGAAGAGCGTATCATTTTTCATTGGAACGTTGTTTTATTAGGATCAAAAACCTCGTATTTATAAAACCTTAGATAAACAAATTAAAATAACAGAAAGCGGATACTTCAAAGGTTTATTGTTTTAACGAATGATACTCTAAAAGTAACATTTTAACGCGAAAATAATTCAAGTTCCATCCATTTAACTGTCATATAAAAATATTATACGGGCCTATGCTAATGATGATGAACGATTTATTTACTCAGTGTTGTTGTTTTTAAAAACGAAATGAAGGGAAACCAAAACAAGTTTCCATCTCGAAAGTAACGGAGCGTTTATTTTTTTACCACAATTTTCTCTACGCTCTGTTTCTTGCAAGCTTTGCGAGTATTTGAGTCCGCCTGAGAGAAACTGAAATTGTTAAAGATGCTTTATGCTTCCATGTTTATGACGAAGTCTTAAATCTACCTTTTCTAGAAATTATTGTGGAAAATGTAAGCCAGGAATAATAGCTGTACAGTCAGAGTAGTAGTAGTATACATGTTAGTAGCTGAGGTTATTAGAAATATGAGTTTTTGCTATTATGCTAAAGACAAGACTCGATTTATTTAATGATACCATAACACTCGTACATAATACTCGTACAGTCCTAAAATTAGCAGATACACAACGACTTCATTGAATGATATCCAAGACTCTAATTTTCTGTTGAATAAATACTTAATATTTTAAGCTCATAAAGTACGTTTATTGTTTTGCAATCAAAAGATTTTCCATTATTTTTATATCACGTAAAAGAATCTTTTTTCACACACACACAAATAAAGAATTCGAAATGTTTACTTTAACCAGACGTTTAAGAATAGCTCCATTCGATTATAATGGGAATCAAATTATATTTGAAGAAGTATATAAATGTAGTATATGTGCGTATTTGTTATTTATATATGGTAAATGTGCCTAGACATACGAAACTTTATGTTATCATTTATTACGTTAAACATTTTCTCTTTCACTGTACGCGCTTATGTAACTCACAAGTCGCACTTAGTCCTTTTGTCAAACGTATTTTAATTTACAAGTCTGTAATAGTTTGTTGTTACTAAGTAGCTTACTCGGCGGTCCCCGAGTACCTACTTACACATACCTAACTCATTCACATTGAATAGAGTGCAATGTGAACTATAAAGCTCGAGAATAAAGTCTTATGTTGATTGTATTTCATATAAAGTACATTAGCCTATCGTAAAATAGCTTGTTTCAGGGTGAGCGCACATTGATGACATTAACAGCGTCTAGTTCGAGCTTTCGTTAATAGCCGTACCACGCTCGCCTCTAAAACCACAAGTTTTATCGGTGCAATTATCTGAACAACACAAACCGCCGCCGCCGACATCAATATGGCCTCGGCCTAACAATAGCGTAACTCGACAATTCGAATTTAAGGCTTTTAATTAAGTTCAGCATCTCATCTACGATTGTAAGGACTTTGAGATAGTCGATTCCCCTTGGCGATCGCCGCATTTGGGCGGTGTAAGTTTATAACGAAGTTATGACACCTAGATGTTGAGGTTGGCGATGTATTCAAATCTATTTTGTGTTTAGCGATGCCGCAAGCGGATCCCGTGATAATCGGAGCGCCAAAAGTGTTGAAACCTGGGGAGCAAGTATTCCTGAACTGCACGTCCGATTTCTCCCTACCACCGTCAGATATTAATTGGTACATCGACGAGGAGCTACAAAAGGTTAGTACACAACAGCCTTTGCCATCAATTTGCTTAATTTGATCGTGATTGGGTTTACGAGCAGAAATCCAGTCATAAAGGGAGATAGCGATTGCAATGCGATTTTAGATTCATTAATAGTTTCATCGATTTAAGCTGAAAATCGTGCAAGCCATTGGTATTTCGATGGCTATTAGCAGGAACTTACTGATGAATTCATTCGATTTGCTCGGCACAATGTGTTTATTAAAGGGTAATTTTTTGACTGATAAGATTGATGCGATGAGATTAACTTACGTTTTAGTATTATTACATGCTACAAATGAATTTTGCAACTACTTTAACACTATAGGAACTTTTCATACTAATTTAGTAACTTCTTGGTAAGCAAGTCATTGGAAGTTGAATAGCCTACACTTTATTATACTCGATTCTTTATCACATTATGCAGAATATAATTCCATTATCAAGATAAAATTTTACATTGTGATAGTATGTCTATTGTTGGCAGACAATACACTGTGTATGTATAGTCCGGACAGAATATGTATGTTCGTTGTCATGTCACACAGGAATCCAATTTGAGAGGATTATGCTCCTCAAGATGAGGTTCGGAATAATAAGATGAAGGTCCTCTTTGCTTTGTAAAAGTGATTTATAATATTATTTCATTTTTTTTAACGAATGCAATTTATTAGTTGATCTCAAAAGCTGTCCTTAAAGCAAGACAAATACCTGGTATTCCAGTTTAGTCTAGTTGTTTTAAGTTTCATAAAGACTATATATCTTGAATTCGTATTCTTCTCTAAGGAAGATATGAATAGCAATCACCTAAACATTGTAGATACTACGTGAAAACTGAGTAAAGCTAAAATGAAAATTATCCATTTCTGGAAATATTATTTAATTTCAAAACGTCAGTATTTTTCTTCTTTGCGCATCCAAACATGAAAGTAAACCCCTGAAATAGATTTATGATTAAATCACGACCTCCCTACTATTATTTACATTTCTGAAAATGCTTCAAACGGCCAATTCCAATTTTTCATTACTGAAACCCTCGATTGTCCTAGTCGGCTTTTTGCCAATATTTTTGAATGAATATTATCCCTAGTACGACTTCGTATATTTCGTACAAAAATGTTGATTGCAAACTATTCCTTTTGTATTTGGTGTTTTCATAATATTAGGATTCTTCAATTAAATGATAAAAATCGAATTTCTATCTCTGAATGCTTGCTTTGAGTGTCTATTATTCCTTATGATTAAATTGGAACTTGGAATATATTTAATATTTAAGAGAATGAGAGACACACAACTCACTAAGAGCCGATTTTTCAATCATCAGTTGTTAATACTTAACTATACAATAAAATTGACATCTTTCAGATTTTAGAATGGGAAAATGGTGACATATTTAAAGCTATTACTTAGTATATGACGTTGGAAAAATTGGCCCCAAGTAAGGTTAGTTTATAAGTAGTTTGTAAGACAGTCCTAACACACAGGAGTAAAATAGTAATAAACAAGCAAAATTCCTTCCTTACTCTCCAAATATGGTAGTTAATAAATATAATATAATAATGCAGGTGGTTTATCCTTGCATATTATTATGACCTACCACTTTACGGACCTCCTTTGTATGAAGTGGACCTGCATTGTTTGCCATTACGTTGGCTCATTGTTAAGCGACTAAGCAGCCGAGGTACTCTTTAAATCTTCGCTAATGGCCTTTTAAAACAGCCAGTATATTTCGTCCAAATGCTCTTCCTTTATTTCCAGCAGTAAAACCTTAAAATGTTTATAATTAGATTTTTGTAAATATATGGGTTTTGGCTGTTCGATTCCGTTTGTGTGGAGTTGGTTGTTTTTTTTTTGTTTGTTGTTGTTAAATTCTTCTATGTTTCGGTTTGAGTTAGATTTTAACGAGTTTATGTTTGATTTTCCTCTTAACCGTTTCTTAGTATAACTTGTATGTGATTACAAAAAAAAGATATAGGTATCTAAAGATGCATGTAAGAAGCTCAATGAATTCCTTGAACATCTTTCAAGTTTAGACCATAAAGTTTTATGTATATTTTTGTGATTTTTTGCATTTTTGCATACCTAACTGAGAAAGCACATGGTTTTTATTATTTTTATTGGTACTCGTGAGTTCTAAGTGTATTCTTTGTCGGAGAAATAAATAAAATAGGAAATTAGTAGGTATGACATAAGTTTGTTAAAAGTTATTTTGCATAAGTTTTTACACTATAAAATATTCATGTTAATTTTCAACAACTATTATCACTTTCTCATTTAATTTATCATCATAAATTCAGTTGATGGTGTTATTCGGCTTGTTTTCATAATATTAACATTTTGCCAATGAGTTTAGCCGTATCCTTACAATAGAGCAGGTATTTACGTTGAAATTTCCATAAAATATGAACGAAATTAAACATAAACTCACCGCAGCGTCGTTTCCAGGTTCTAATTAAAAAGCTATGAATCAATTAACTTGAAAACCTGGTTCATTATTCACTGTAAAAATAGCAAACTAATATTAGCGAATGTTATTTTCCTGTTCTATATATTTTCTTTTATTTTGTCTAAATATTATTATGATATTGGCTCTGTGAACTAATTTATAATTTTAGATAGATAGATTTATAATAACTATATCAAAATATAATAATAAAATAGTTTTTCTTAACATTGATAAATAGAATTGTCGACTTCGAAATACTAGACCTATTTAACAGAACTGAAATTAAATATACAATATACCTTTATTTTTTCAAATAAAATGCATGTAATATGTATTTTTCTGCGTTATATTTTACACACGTCACGCGGATACACACTTTATACTCATATTTCAAAAATGTTATTACAAAAACGTGTCAAATCGAGTTTTAAAGTACCTAATCATTGTTCCTACATGAGGTCACATTTATTTTGACAAATGTTGCTCTATTCATCTCAATAAACAGCGGTTTTAGTAAATCAATGTTCATTGTAACCCGGTGTTAGGATTTCATTTAAATCTATTTTCGGATTCCGGTAAAAACGTATCTATAAAGGTCACAAGGATTTTCGAAGATGGATTTGGATATACGCTTATCATGTGACAGGTGTATGATTCGAATACTGAGAATCGGAAATTGTTTTTATTCTTTTGAACGAAATTCCTCTTCTGTACTTTTATTCACTATAACTAAATTCCTTTCACAAAGATGATTGTCACTATTGTTTGAAAAAATATTCACAGTTACATAATATACATAGTACATTGAATTAGAGTATCTACGCCTCTTTTATATTTATGTGCATCATAATATTATTACCGTAAGTTCACGATTACAATTTTTCTGAAGATCACGGGAGTGTCATGCTTTGGCACAAATGGGCCGGCTCGACCGCAGTGATACCACGGCCTCACAGTCACAAGAAACCAATGTTAAACAACGCTTATGTTGTGTTTCGTCGTCTAAGTGAGCTTATCAGACGCCCAATTAGCCCCCTCCCCAATCTCTGAAACCCTAACAATCCTCAAATTCCTTAACCCCAAAAGGTTGGCAACGCACTTGTAATGTCTCTAGTGTACCTATCCATTAACTACGCCGATTGCTCAACATCAGGTGATCCGTAAGCTCGTTTACCAGCATATCCCTATTCAAAAAAGAAATTAATTACCTACTACTTTTTTACAGTAATTGTATCAAGTACCTACCCACTTACCAATTATACAGCCATAACACTTTTTAAGTAGTAGGTATTGAATCTAACAAGCCCTGTTTTACCCAACCAATACTAACCATCTCATTAGTGCTCCTGTGACGTAGACTCCAGTACATTGAGAACGACTGGAAAGCATTTCGCGTGGTAATAATTATTTGCATCAGGCGCATTTGCACTGCGCTCGGAATTCACACCCGGCTTAATAAGACGCAGTTCCCATCAGCAGTCACTTCGTATTAGACAGGATAGAATTTGCCATTATCCTCGTGGATTCCTTGCTAACGTATATTATCCTTTGTTCCAATAGGAAAATGATTTATTTTAAAGCAATTGGCATTTTGAAATAAAAAAGGTACATGAACAAACAATAGGATAGATGCCTAATTTTTATTTTAATGTCCGTCTGGTAGACACGTATTTTTATTTTCGTACAAAAGCGAATACTTTCGTCTATAGGTATATTGATTTGAAATGTCGCGTGACGTCACTTCTATGTACATTTTATAGGTAGAAATGACGTTTTATCTGAGTATTGATTTATTAAAAGACAAAATAAAAAATACGTGTCTAATATTTTTTCATTACTTAACATACGGACTAATTAGATTTTTAATTTTCATACCCTGTCATCATCCCAATTATTATGATTCAAAACTTTTATACGTTCTTTTTAAGGTGCTTTAGAAATAATGACAAATTATTCAGCAATATTAATAAATCCTTAGTATGGGGCTGACTAACTGATTATAATTTTAATCATTCACATCAACATCCTATAAGTCGCCACTGCTGACAAAAGGCCTCTTCTCACATGGAGAAGGTTTATAGCATTAATCACCACGCTTGCTCAATGCTGGTTGGCGATTTCAAACTTATAATTAGAAACTTTAAGCCTGGGTTTCCTCACGATGTTTTCCTTCACCATTTTTCATTGGTGTCTAAGTAAGCCTAGAAAGTACAAGTAACTCGGAAAAAGTTACATTGGTACCTGCTATTGGTAGGTTTATAACGCGCACCCTAATGCATGAGACCACCACGACGATTAATTTTAACCTATATATAAATTAAATTTAATAACATCCTCTAACCATACAAACATTAATTGGTAAATACTCACTACGATTTATAGATTACCATGTAATTAAAGTAAAATAACATTATAATGTAAACATCCAATAATAATACATTTCGTGAGTAAACAAATTGCATAATTTCCACAACTAAATTAAATTTTGTGCATCCATCGCTTCTATTAAATTATTATCCGGCGTATGGTAGCCAAATAGATTGCAGTGGGGTATTGTTTCATTAGTTTAATAATGCCGCTGTCCTCTACTCTGGATAATCCATTAGAGAGCCAATCGACTTAAATGCGACTTATCTCTTGTTACCATGTGTTACTCGTAATTGGAGCTACAGCTTCTAAATTGTTAGACCTCTGTGAATGCTTAAAACGAAAAAAAATCTTATCATCTGGTCTGATAATTATTGTTTGTAAGGGTAGATTGAAGTGAATCTTCTGTTTAATTTCTAATTAATACTTATTATTGTTATGGTAGGTTCAGTATGGGGCAGCCTATTTGACATTGGGCCCAACATCGACATTCGAGTGATTTATAAAGAATTCAGTATAATCACCTTAGGTGGAATAAAGCCTAGAACAGCTCGCCCCATTATAAGAAAAAAACTATGTTCAACTTATAGCCTAGTCTTGCACTTGCGAATGTTATATTTATGAGAAACTTTTTATCTCATCCTTGTGTGTATCATGAATCAATCACTATCAACCAAAGGGTTGACTAATGGAAAAAATACTACTATAAATAACTTGTTGACAGCCCGAGCCGTGGCAGAAGACTGAAGTGACGGGCAACCAGCCGGGTGGGCTGCGTCGCTCGTGGCGTGTAATGCGCGTGCGCGTTCCGACCACTGCGAGCGGGGCCTTGCGTGTGCGCTGCGAGTCTATACTGCTGGTGGAGCCCCCTGTAGTCAGGGACGCAAACACCATCATCACTATACACTCGCGCACTCAACTGTCTAAATATGTGTCTAATATTAGTGGTAAGTTCAATTTGATCTTATTTTTTAATTAAAATTGTCAAAACTAGCCATATAAAATTCATTTAAGTCCAGTATTTGAAATGTATATGTATAATGTTATTGTTTATGTTAAAAATTATACCCGTCTCTTGGTTTTAAGCTACTTCTTCAGCAACTTTCAGTCAAATCGATTATTGATTCAGCCGTTTCCGATTTATAAATACATAGTATTATTGGGATGCTGACGGGGATGAAAATTAAAAATCAAATTAGTCCGTCAGTTAGGTAATGAAAAAATATTAAACACGTATTTTAAATTTTGTCGTATAATAAAATAATACTTAGATAAAACGAATCAAAGTTTATGAGTGGCGTCTAAAACGTTACTTCTACGTATAAAATGTACATAGAAGTGACGTCACGCGATATTTCAAATCAATATAATACGGTCGAAAGTATTCGTTTCTGTAAGAAAAAAAAATACGTGTCTAATGATTTAAAACAATCTACCAGACGGATATTAAAATTAAAATTAGGCATCTACCCTAACATGACCTTCTTTTATATTATACTAGCGACCCGCCCCGGCTTCGCACGGGTGCAATATGCATGTATTATACATACAAACCTTCCTTAAGAATCACTCTATCTATTAAAAAAAACCGCATCAAAATCCGTTGCGTAGTTTTAAAGATCTAAGCATACATACGGACATACAGCGAAAGCGACTTTGTTTTATACTATGTATTGATATTAATATTTTTTTTTAATAATAACAAAAATAATCACAAGTATTCTCAATTAAGTGTTCAATTGTTTCAAGCAACAGGTACTTAATTGCGTTGAGTACCCTTGTCTTGGTTGTAATTATACACATATTATAATATAGTTCGATTTTATTGAATTTCTAATTTAATTAAATTTCATTCCATATTTTATTTAATTAATTGATCGCTAATTTTATGTTATTTTGCTTGAGTTTGTTCGAATGTTATAATATTTTTTATGTAAAATAATCTAACTGTTTTATGTGCATGCGGTGTTAGCCAGTAAGTAGTACACTTACCAAAGTATTATTTGTTATGATGTAATGAAGGAATGAGTGTAAATAACTGTTGGTTAACCTAATCTATAAATATATAAAAGAAAGTCGTGTTAGTTACACTATTTATAACTCAAGAACGCCTCGATCGATTTAGATGATAATTGGCAGGGAGGTAGCTTAAAACCAGGAGACACACATAGGATACTTATAATATATTTTTTTACTTTTTATCGAGTATCACGAACGGGAACGGGAAAAAACGAGATTGCGCGTACGAAGTCGCGGGCAGAAGCTAGTTATTAAATAAAAAAAATATTGTATTAGATGTGGGGTTAAGTCTTATTGCACAAATATGCTGATACCACAAGCCATTAAAGCGGGGAAAAAGCGATGAGCACATTATCGATATAATTTTATTTAGGTCATTTAACCTTTACGCGAAAATAATGCAATTAAGTAAATAAATTTAAACCCAACTCTCGATAAATATGCACGCGATTGGTTCCAAAATTGCATCATTATAATAAATTATATCGACATAAAAATTGCAGGGAGATTTAAAATATTTATAATAACTGTCGTGAGGCATACTAAATTAAATTGAATTCGCTGGTTACTCATCTGAATATACTAAGAAAAGCTCTACTAGTTTCGAGGCACAGCTCTTTCACATGAGCAGCATGCGCGGTCGCGGCGATGTCGTAATCCGCGATTTTTAGTTGAGATTTGAAATATTAATGTCGGAATACTGAAACGCTACTCAATTTTAAGTCGTGCTTAAGTGTAGTTCTATCTCTACAAATTCTTTGTAAAATGACAGAGATGGCACGATATTTGAGCACCACTTAAAATTGAGTATTCGGGCATAAGTTATTACTTTAATATATTATACGAGTGGCGTCAAGTATTGTAATGTATTTAATGTGAGTTTATTTGCTACTTTTTCTTGTTTAAAATATTTAACCGCTTAATAATGTACATTCCATCAAAAATCTATATCGAAGACTATTCAAATGATTCGCTTAAAATCTGCACGTAATTGAATTTGATTTGTTTTTTATATGCATATTTTGTCTGAAATCTTGAAGGCGTTGGATTAACCCTTAACTATCCAGAATGCTTTTGTGACGTAACTGACCAGTAGTGTCCAACAGACTCATTTTATAAATGTAAGGTATGATGAAAGAAAAGAAAGATATTTTGAATGAAAAAGACAGTATAATGTATTTCAGTAATGTGTATTTACACTTATTTACTTATAGATATTACAATTATTTTTTTTTCAGAATATTCAGTGCATGTATTGCGTTTGCATTCAGCACAACACTGTTTAGAAGCCCTTGATAATTTTGAAGGGAAAATATAACAAAACTTCTTCCTTTTCCCATTGTCGCTTGATATATTGGATTGCCAAAGATAGGGCACCAGTATTCTCTAAAATCTACACCTCCCTGTTTAGTGACGCTTATAGTCAATAAAAGACCTCGGAGTACTTGCATTTCGATTTTATATCTGTTGATTTCCATCGATTTTGTAAAATTCTAAGCCCTTCAGTATTGGTATATTTTACTATTATTTGTAATACGTGTTCGTCGAAAAAAAGGCTGAAACTGTCTATCGGATCTATAATAGTTTGCACCGGAGTAGGAAGAATCACCTTATGGATACCACCGCGAATTATGTTGTGTCGAGGCGTTCGGTTTTGCTTGTTAGGTTCTGATTTCCAAATTGTTATATTTTCCTTTATAAGTGTAAATTGAGACGTATTCTTGTAATCATCATCCCTGTTATTCCATAATTGTTCATCATCGTTTTCAGATGCTGGTTCTGTGTATATTACTTTCACTATCAGAACAGCTGTCAACAGCAAAATTCTCATCATCACTATTGCACTCATGGACAAAAATGTTTTCATCGTCACTTTCAACAAGGGCACGCTGAATTTCACTTTGTATTAGTTGCCGTTTAGCGATATCATTCAATAAAAACGAATTAGAACATGACTACATTTCGAGAAGAGTTTTTGATTACTGATACGTGATACGATTACAAAAACTATGATTATAACACAAACAAAGGTCTAGCAACCGCTGTTGCCCACCCGACACCATAATATCATAAGTAAATGTAAATAAAAACAATCTACCTTCACACTTGAATCAAATAAAATTATATTGTGTCTGTTGGACACTTCTGGGTTGATGAAGTACTATTTTCATTTATTGACCAAAAATAATAAATTATTCACGTTACAAATATTTTCATTGCACATTTAGATTCGTAAAACATTGACGATAAATTAGAGAAAAGGCCGATTCATAAAAATAAAAACTTTAGCTTTTATAAAAATATAAACGCAAAATTGTGTCCGCGAGACACTTGTGGGTTGTTAAGGGTTAATAATGACACGTTACGGTGTTTAGCGCACGCTCTACTATACGTTTTAAATTATCCACAGCAGTTTTTATTTATTTAAAAGTATTATTCCTTTGTGAAATGAGGTTTTGACTTGTAAAAAGAACTGTCCAAATTAATAGGGTAGTAGGCAGTGAATGAAAATTAATATTATTATTAGGCACACATTTTTTTATTTTGTCGTATAAGAAAACAATACTTAGATAAAACGGAGTAACGTTCAGGAGTGGGAGGTCGTTATGTCACGCTACCCTATAAAATGTAGTAAATCGCGACGGCACACTATATTTCGTATCAATATATTGTCGAAAGTACCTATTTAGTTTTGAAAGAAACGAAAAAATACGTGATAAATGTTTTAAAATAATCTACCAGACGGACATTAAAAAAAATGTAGTATAATGCTTTATTGTTAATGTTCTATGTTTCCTTGTTTTAATACAATTCTATATTGTTTCAGGTACAAATGTAGTCAATACGGGCTTGTTAATAGCGACAATTGTATTATGGACTTTAATTAAAATATCAAGGTTAACGAGCTTATGAGATTCGGTGTGAAATATTGTTTGGTGATATTAGTTGTAAGTGTAGATATTATTGGGAATGGCCTGTATTAACATACAAAAAATGTAAACTATGTATACAAAATATAAGAAATCCAGGTTTTGTTTTTAACACATCATCTCAAAAGGTCATCAAAATACCTATATTATGTTTCGGTCTTCATTAAAGTTGAATAAAAAAGATGATAGCCTAAAATTAATTGCTTTTTGTATGAGACTGATCTCCGATCATTTTGAAAAGGTTAATTTCAACATAATTATTGTAAAAATTATTGGCTCATGAATTCAAACAAAAGAATTACATCGAAAAGGTTGCTTTTGATCAACAATACCTTTTTATATTTGTGTAATTTATGTTAGGAAATAAAAAACAACTGCTTAATTTTTATCAAAAAGTACACTGTTAATTTTGGAACAAATTAAAACAGCGAGCTTTCCATAGCAAAAACCATGAAGGATAAAGCTAAAGAAGGCTAGATTAAGAACACAGTAGAAAAAAAAGATAAAGAAAAATATTAATATAAAAGATAATTATACCCATAGACCTCATTCATGATGTATCGCGGAAGAATATAATTATTTTTTGTACGTTTCTGAAACGTTAGTAAAAATCATTAAAAAATGTATAAAATGAATTTGTTGATAAGTTCACATAGATAAATTAAATGTAATATAATATAAATTGTAAACATTGTATTGTTTTTAAATGAAAGAGATTTATTTATAATGAAAATATTGTCACTTAAGTACTTGCGAAATTTATCTTAAGGGCTCACAAATGTTCCAACAAAAAAGCAAAACGCAGTCTGAAAATAGATTTGAAATAAATACCCATCAATTTGTTCCTGAACTCTATACTCTATAGTCGGGTTCACTTTCCATGAAGTATACAGAACATTGTGTAAGGTAAATAAAAAATCTCTTAACGCCCATTTTTCTTTATTTATGTAAAAAGTACTTTCATAAATACAGTTCAACAATGTAATAAATAAATGTAACTATCGTGAGTCATGTTTAATCAATTATGTTGTAGGACCTAGTAAAATTGTTTGATAAGTAAACTCGACTAATTTCAAATTCACCATGCTTCTCATGACTATAAGGCCCCAACGCGGCTTGAAAGTAGTTGAGTTGTTTCGTCAAAAACTTACATAAGAAAGTCGTACAACATAATTGATTTTACAGAAATACGTTTATTATTGTTTCAAAATATTTTCTAACATTTCGAATGAGTTGTGTAAATTAGTTGTATTAAAAAAAAATGATAGTTTTAAATAAATAGACGTTAATCTATGGCTGTGTTTTCACTTAAGGTAACGTCAATTCTTTGCACTACATCATCTTTTAAAATATAAATGTACAGTGACACATAATTGTTGTTTTTCTTTTTATTTTTTTATAAGTTTTATTACTGTATTAATGTAAATTTTAACTGGGATACGTAAATAAAGTTATGATACAAATTGTATGTTCTGTTTTTTTTTTCAATCATAATTCGTCAAGGTCGCAAGTCCGATGGTTGAGCTTGAGATTCAATTAATCCAATAACAGGGACATGGTTTAGACTTGAGCTACTGGCAAAAATGGACCTAGGGCCTGCATCCTGGCTTCAACAAATTCATAAAACCTGATTAAGTAAGTCCAGGACTTATGTAGAATGCAGTAGAATCGATATTAAAAAATGTGTAATTATGAAAAATAGGGATTTCCCTACTCCTCGTCCGTGTACCAGTCGTTGTACTGTGTTCAGAGTTTATAGATATAAATGCTAGTTAGTTGAAATTACAACTTAAACATTGAATTCATTTAGATTTTGACAAAAGAATAACCCTAATTGACCTTAACAACATGTTCTATAAACTAAAACATAACACAATAACACATAGAAAACTACTAGTGACAAAACTACCAACCCGTAATGCCATTTTAAAGCACCACTAACCCAGAAAGAGTAAACAGAACAGCTTCAGCACTGAAACAACTGAATAACTCTTGGGACAGTTAACTAACCTGTTAACAAACGTTCCAACTTGTTCATAGCTATGTAAATTCGTTTGTAATTTAACCATTTCATGTATAAATAAGTGTTTCTAGAACAGCCCCACTAGGGTTTCAGCTTTCATGAATTTGTTTATAAATATCTAATGAGAATCTTATGTATTTGTTATTTGAAGTTGTTTTTGCGTAAGTAATTATATTGATCTGAATATTAATAAAAATAAGTAACGCAACTTTATCTGAAAAATATCGGTCCTTCTGTTGGCGTAGCAACCACGTCGATTTTGAAGTTGTGGACGAATTTGTCCAACGTTTTATATTAATAACCTTATTCATCAGTCGTTTTCACTACTGAACATAAAATGTATTCTATCTTTAAAAACTGAATCTACTCAGATACCTATTTGTTTAGGGGTCAAGAAAACGAAAATGGAGTTGAATATCCTAGTTTCTTAAAAAAATAAAGAAAGAAAGGCAAGGAGTTATGGAGCGACGTAATTTCAATATTAATTGAATGTGATTAAATTCAAATCACGTTGTACAATATTCTTCTTCGGTCTGTCAATGACCATTATTAGTCTTATACTTTATATTAATAGTCTCAATTGGTTAATGCTGGTCTAGACGTCTGTTTCTGAATGGTAAAGAAGTTTTATAGAAGGGTACATTAGTGTCCAATTAAAGTAAGTACTGCGTTCTATGCGTCGTTTTCAATGAATAAAATATTATTCATTGCACAAAACCTTAGAATAATAACGAATATTTTAATTGAATTAAGTATTTGCTTACAAGCTGTTCAAGTTTGATAAAATATCACGTATTTATATTAAAACTTTCGTGAAACATACTAAATTAATTATTATATTTTCGGCTTATTCACGTAAATATTTGGCGAGGAACTCGACTCTAGTTTTAGGCCATGCTAGAGGATCACAGCAGCATCGCGACAGTTGACATAATTAAAATATCACGTAGTTTTTTTTAAATTTTAATTTGTATATACCTCCTTGCGTAGATGTGCTTCCATAACATTATCAGCGGATGATTTCGTATATACATAGTTAAATACCGATAATATCTAAACGTACGATGCGACGTATCACGCATATAACGTTATTAGTTTAACTGAGCTTCTGTTGTGAATTTTAACCATTTCTTCGATACCTACATACCGGTGTCCATAAAAGAAAACTTGTTATTGCAATAAAAAAAAATAAACAGCAACTTAAATCTGTATAAAGTATCCAGTGAGGGTGGCCAGTCTTATGGAAAAAAACAGCATAACAAAGGCAGCATTAATCTGCGCAATCATTTAAAAAGACTCCATCTTTATTTGTTTTTAAATCTAAGCAATTTAAATGGAGATTCATTTTTTATTGTAAAATAAAAAGGCAATGTATTCACGATACGTAGCCGCACTAAAGTTCTAAGCACGATGGCTTTGGGTTTAATACCTCATTGATATGGCTCGCAGAGAATGCGAGCTAGATCGTTAAAGGTGCTACTTAGGATTGAAACCAGTAGCGTGAAAACTTTGCAAACTAACACTGCAGAGGTAGATATTTTTCTACAAATACAACAGTGAGATAATATTACAGAGCACAACAGATTACAAGCATGAGGTATATAGGTACTATGGCGGGTATGTTATCTTTAATAGATACTCGCCATCTAAAATACAAAAATTATTTGATACATCTGAATAATTATGGATATTATGACGTCTGACGTGGTTATCGTAATAGCTAAAGGTATTAACTGAACAATACAAGTAATAAATAAGAGATATTTTTATTTTAAACAGGTTTCATGTCGTCACGATTAAGAGTGTGTACCAAATATTAGATCTATCTGTCGTCTGTCTGAATTTTTTGACCTAAATAAACAAGGCAAACTAAATAAACCATTTATAAATAGTTGTAGGTACTGTGTAGTTAACAGTTACATGATAATATCCTTAATATTAAAACGAATAACTGATTAAATTCACTTAAATATATCAATAAAAATAAGATTCTCTCTAAATTTTATTCAAGTGGATAAAACAGTTATTGATTTCACAACAGTACAACGATCAGGCCAGGGCCAGCTAGTTTACAATATAATAAACGATTCATAAGCGTGCTATATACCACGTGCGGTATCATTGAACACGTCCCAGGCGATATTAATCCGCACCGTCCAATTATCACCTCGTATTCCCTAAAGAGAGAGGCATAGATATGCAATCTATACCCGCCAAGTGTAGAGAGAGGTCGAGAGAATTCATTCTGCTATTGGTGTTGCATTTGACGGTTGATTTGTGAGTTAATCAATTGATGATAATTAATGTTCATAAAGTATATTACGAGGTGATTAGCAGTAACTTTATTAGACTATACAGTCTGGATTATTGTTTATTTTTTTATGGGATAAGCCGGTAAAGTATTAGGATCACCTACATAATGGTAAGAAATTGGCGCCGCTCATGGACACCCGAAACACTAGAGGCGTTACAAGTACGTTACCGGCCTTTTGGGGATTAAGAATTTGAGGTTTGTTGGGGATTCATGGATTGAGGAGATTGGCGAGAGGAGTAATTGGGCCTCCGGTAGCCTCACTTACACGAAGAAACATCGCAAGTGTTGTTTCACGTCGGTCTTCTGTGAGGGCGTGGAATCACTGTGAAAATGTTGTATAAATGAACCCGTGTGGTGGTATTTGCTAGTGGTTTTAGTAATTGTGGCACTACACAATTGTCCAGAGACCAAAGTACGCAGTACTTTGGCAAACCTTAACTTGAATCTGAATTCACATGTAGAGGGGTCCATAGTTTAACAGTGGATACATACGGGCTGTTGATATGTATGCTGTACTGAATAAAGTTTTCCTTTATACACATCTATATTCAAAACAAACAGGAAAAGATTTCCATTATCACAATTTACTTCAAAAACATTAACAAACTGGCATTGGCAACAAAACTGCATATCAATTGACCATTGAAAGTTACAATAGTTAAAGTCAAAGCATTTATATATCAATTCAAAGTCAGAACAATAATATCTGAATCCTATTTCCACAAGATCGATAACAATTCTAAAATTATACGAATATTCTTGCCAAGACAAGGAAGTGAGGCGAATTCTTGAGGTGACAAACGTTCGCAAAGTTATGAATCAGAAATCGACAGATACAAATGTGGGTTGTCTGATTTTGTCTTATGCTGAATTTATAATAATAGTGTACGTTATCAAAGGAAAATTATAAAGCAGAAAGTCAAATTTTGTTACTTAGGTGCGTATTATTCGAAATATTCACGATTTTGTGTCTTTTTCATGGCATAAACCGGTAAATGAGAAGACATATCACTGATGGTTAGGTTAGGTACACCAGAGACGTTACAAGTGCGTTACCAGCATTTTGGGGACTAGGAGTTTGAGGATCGTTAGGGATTCAGGGATTGGGGAGATTGGGGAAGGGGAGGGTAATTGGGCATCTGGTAACCTCACTCACACGACGAAACACACCGCAAGCGTTGCTTTGCGTCGGTTTTCTGTGAGGCCGTGGTATCACTTCGGTCGAGCCGGCCCATTC